TATATATATATATATATATATATATATATATACAGAAAAACAAAAATGGCTTTGATTACAACAACATATACTGGAGACCTAGTAGTAAGAATTAAGAAATATATTTTCTCAATCCACACCTTTTTTTCTTTTCTTCGAACTGAGGTATTGTTTATTAAGTTGTTTTCTCCGTAATAATATGATAAAATGAATTCTTAGAATGAATTTCATGATTATGGCACTACGTAGTGATAGACACCTTAAAAAAAATTATGCTGGGTTAAATTAGTAAGTTCACTGTGAACAAATATCTATTAATTTTTAGGGTAATTATTATTCTTAACTTTGTTACTAGACATTTCTATTAATGTAGATAAAATAATGACCTATATATCTCCAGAATGTAGATTTACTGGCTCATTATTATAGCTTTGTCAGGAGCTATTGATATTTCTAGTCGATGACAGAATTCCAATTTAGATTCAACTGGTTTAGTGAACTAGTAGGTTATCAATAGCTCTTGATGAAGCTGTAATAATGAGCTACTAAAGATATATTCTGTTGTTACTTTGTTTACATTGAAATGTGTAGTAATTATTTCAGCTGATAATTAAAGGACTCCTTATCAAAACAATAAGTTTGCCAGCCTAAGAAGTTCCAGTCTTAGGAACTAATTCTTAATACCTTATAGATTACTGATCGTACGAGTCAACGTTTATCAAATATTTGTTAACTAAATTATTACTATACACAGCAGTATTTATCAAATAGAGTATTTGTATTCTCTTTACAGATTCATCAGTAAAGTTAACCATTATCACATGGATTTGTTTAATTTATACCAGTTTTTATTAACTTGGATAACTAAATCACAAGTACAAATATGCTTAGTGACAAATAAAGACAAAACATGACTTCTTTTAGCATACAGAGGAACTTCAAACACTTTCAACATGACACTTTGGATTTTAAACTGGCCTTATGTACATTTCTATTAAGAAAGATTAATAATGGCAAGTCAAATTCTTTGTACCCAGGCCACTGTCAATTGGTTGAATGCTGGAGGTTATCAGGTTAGCTGGGTAACAACACACGTATATATTGAGTTTTTGTTGTTGTTTTTTTTATACATCAGCTCTTGTTAGTTTATAATGGTATGTCGAATTGTGAAAAATGTTTCTTATCCTTTACAATATGATCCAGTTCATGTCAAGTTCAGAGGTTGCTATGATATGAACCAGATTTTATAAACCTGAGAGATCACAAACCAGTCCTTACAACACGGCTTAGTTTGACTACAGACCCTTAAAACATGAACAGTTTGTTTTATAAACTTAAAGAAAACGTACGTGAGCCAGTAAACTCGGAAGTTCCTTTTAATATTAACAAGTTTTAAAATCTTAACTCATATACATTCTTATAATATTGGGAACAGTTACTATACAAACTAATTTCTTGAATGTGTAAAAGGAACTTCTTAATCTGAGGGATCTGTATCATATGTAAACATCACTGTTTTTACGTAGAGATCCTTTTTCATACACACTGGTTCGTATATCTTTGGAAGACAAACTGATACTAATCAAATACATTTGATGATAAATACTACTTTTATATAAATAAGGAGCTTAACACAATGAACCTAATTAGATGAATTTCAAACCTACATTCTAAGTTGGCCATGGACAATCTGTAACCGTCCAATCGAGGAGAAGGCTTGGAGAGGTTGTGTTTAACTTCCGAGGTTTTATAATTTGATTCATTATCTGCATCCTACAAAGATAAGAGAAATTACAATCCATAGTTTATCAGTGAATTAAGAAAATGTAAAAAAAAACTAAGGGATCCGATAAAAAAATCTACCAATTTTTACTGATTGAAGCAAACAGCCTACAAAAAATAATTCAAGCTAAAACAAAAGTATAATTTATAACATTTCTATTACTGTCACAAAATTGCATTATCAGAACACCACTGTAACAACAGCTATTTTTTAAAGCCGTCCTTTACTGAGAAAATTAAATAGCATCCTATCATCGGCACGATGCTAGAGAACAAGTGATGTAAATCTTACAAGTGAGAACACTCAATTTGATAATGAAATTCTTTCAAGGATCATAAAGAATGAAACACACAGATTCTAAGGATGATAAGATGAAACTCATTAACTCTTTTTTTTGTTCTCATTAAACCAAAAGTGAACTAGTTAGTTGTGCATGATGAAAGTTATTCTTCAGCTAATCATGACCTATTAGATGTTAGAAGGAGGTGGGTGGAAATCAGTGAAGGATGAGAGTATCAGTTTACAATTACCTCCTCACTGTCCACCTGCTGATTGCATTTAACTGTAGAACCAGTCTGACAAACTGGAAGAACAAGTTAAGTTTAAAAACGTCACAAAAAAAAAGAAAAAAAAGAGGATGGAGAAGCTGAATCATTATCTCCATGGAGATGTAAGATAAGCAACAAACCAGAATGTATAACTCTTGGTATTAAAGAAATTACCATGATGTTTTCAAATTTCAATCTGAACACCTGAACATGTTTTTTTTTGTTATTATTATTAACATATCAACAGATATAAGTTATTGACATTATACCTGTTATACCTTAACGTTCTGGACGATATTTTCAAAAATATTATTAAAAATCAGAGTCTACGAGAATCTATACAACAGTTTTACATTGTGCTACATAATGACCTTGTGCAACTGACGCCCAGTTACAAGTTTTATCTCAGTCTTAATGTTTTCAAGTTCACTTACACAAATCTTTAGGAACTGCTGCTAATTAAAACAGTTGACAGAAACTTTGATGAATGCAGCATGGAGTATCTTACATGACTTTAATGGACATACTTCATTATATATATAAAAAAGACAGCTTCATGTTTCCTACCCTAACAAAACTTTCTAGCATAAGATGCTATAGCTGCGATGTGTCTTGGGAAATAAGCACAACGACTTTGTCTAAACTGTATGAAAAACATCTCTAGCAAAATTAGCTCAAGTAATTCTCTACATACCTTGATTTCTAGCTTTTAACTAGAGGATATATGCTTGTAAAAACATCTCTAGCAATTTTGTTATTGAAACAATACTTCCATCATAGTTTTGATGCTATCTATTGTATTCTAGTCAGTTTTGTTACTGAAACAATACTCTCCATCATAGTTTTGATGCTATCTATTGTATTACAGTAACAAAACTGACTAATTGTTTCAGTAACAAAACTGACTATAATACAACAGATAGCATCAAAACTATGATAGAAAGTATTGTTTCAACTTTCCATCATAGTTTTGATGCTATCTATTGTATTCTAGTCAGTTTTTTTACTGAAACAATACTTTCTATCATAGTTTTGATGCTATCTATTGTATTCTAGTCAGTTTTGTTACTGAAACAATACTCTCCATCATAGTTTTGATGCTATCTATTGTATTACAGTCAGTTTTGTTACTGAAACAATACTTTCTATCATAGTTTTGATGCTATCTATTGTATTCTAGTCAGTTTTTTTTACTGAAACAATACTTTCTATCGTAGTTTTGATGCTATCTATTGTATTATAGTCAGTTTTGTTACTGAAACAATACTTTCTATCATAGTTTTGATGCTATCTATTGTATTATAGTCAGTTTTGTTACTGAAACAATACTTTCTATCATAGTTTTGATGCTATCT